TGCTCCCTTTGATCCATTTAGCCACCGATAATAAAGAAGGATGCGTAATCAAATAAATAAAGCACTCAGACGTAAGTGATAACCAAACATTTGGTTTAAAAAGGGGTTTTTCGTTGTGACGGGGGTCACACCCGAAAGGGGTAGCTAGAAATCCTCCACAGGCAAGTTAGTAGGGGAGTTGGCAGAGTTGATTAATTCATTAGAGCCAACTGTGAAAAACTTGGCGGCCTCGATGGGATTCGACTTCACGTCAGCAACGACAAGGCTTTGGTATAGCCAACATTCTAGTCATCTAAGCTACGAGGCCCCACCAGGAGACGTGAACTTAATTGAACCTGGGTCAATTAAACCGCAATGTATAGAAGCCATCAATTCTGATACAGTAAGCTGCCTGTACAGGAAAGATTTCCCAAGCGACCAATCTAGAATCCACTCGATGACTACCAAGCACACTTAATAGTTGGGAACTTTTACAGACCTGAATAATATATTCGATCCACTGGGTGGGTAAAGTGTGATTAAACTCACGGCTTCCGGTGGGCGCCTCATAGCTAAGTTGACTACATGCAGATATCAAAGAACTTAACAGTCCTGCAAAACATAACGTAAGCCAATCGCAGGAAAAAGGTAGGATATTGAAGAGGGGGGGGCATGGGTGATCGGTGGTTAACTCACGTCGTCTGTCGCTTTGATCTCCAAACGAAGTTTGTCGAGAATTGTGATGAAGAGCTAAAAACAGGATGCACGAGAAATTATGAATATCCACAACCACCAACGGCACGTTGGAGGCACAGGGTAAACGACTTACGTGGACAGAGTCAGCAATACATTTGCCAACATTGCCCTTATCATCCTTGATGGTGAGTGGATGACCTTCCTTAATGCATTCGAAGGCGGCTGGACAGTCCATCTATTTAAAAAAAGAAAATTCAGTGGTCTATTTTTAAGACGGGAGGGGGCTGTTCAGTATAGGCGAGCATGATTTATAAATAGGGCTTTATATTCTTGTATTCTGGCAGGCTTGAGACTCTGCAGATAGGTCAACCAGGTCCATCCATTAAGTCGGCTCATATCAAAAATTTGTCCAGGACCTATATCGAAAATTTGAATGTGCTGAGTACAGCAAATTGACGAGAAGTTGTGTCAACACAGCCCTCAAGAAATTGCAGAAAACTTACTACGGCTAACGTACTTCTTACCCTCTTGATCGGCAGTATGCAGGGCAGCAAAAAAATCACTGAAGCGGTACAAGGCACGTCAGCGAAAAGTCATGAGATAAGTTAAACACCAAAACAGCCTGAGGAGTTGGCGTTTCCTGGGAATAAACCAGAACAGGAACAAGATTTCGACCGTATGGTTTTTGTCAAACTTGGCTGTGCGCAAAATTAAAAGCAAACAATCAACAGGAGCGACATAGACG